AATCTTATATCTGTTAGTACTCTTTTAAAACATAACAATGGGTCAGCTCATTTTTATCCTGAATTTTGTTATATCCAGGAGTGTATTCAGGGATTGATGATTGGTAAAGGAATTCTTCTACATAATCTGTATATCCTGCAACCTGCATCATCATCCTTACCATCGTCAACTCTCACTCTTGATCATGCTGAAAGTCACTTCTCTGGATCCTTGAAAGTCGATGGACATCTCTGGCATCAACGCCTAGGACACCCATCCTCTGACAAGTTAAAGCTTTTGTCTGGTATTTTACCTTTGTCTTCTTTACAATTAGATCAGCATTGTAGTATTTGTCCTTTAGCTAAACAGAAACGGCTACCCTTTGAGTCTAATAACCACATGTCTTCACTTCCATTTGATCTTCTTCACTTAGATGTATGGGGGCCTTTCTCTATTGAATCTGTAGATGGTTTTAAGTATTTTCTCACCATAGTCGATGATTGTACTCGTGTTACTTGGGTTTATATGATGAAAACTAAATCAGAAGTAATAAAGCATTTTCCAGATTTTCTAAAGCTTGTTGATACTCAATATAAATCAAAGGTTAAGGCTATAAGAACAGATAATGCTCCTGAATTAGCTTTTACTGATCTAGTTAGAGAACATGGAATGATTCATCAGTTTTCTTGTGCTTACACTCCCCAACAGAATTCAGTGGTAGAAAGAAAACATCAACATTTACTAAATGTAGCAAGAGCATTGATTTTTCAGTCAAAAGTTCCATTAGAATACTGGAGTGATTGCTTGTTAACTGCTGTCTTTTTAATCAATCGTACTCCTACACCTCTGTTGAACAATAAGTCACCATATGAACTACTTACACAGAAGGTTCCTGATTACAGTTTTCTGAGAACATTTGGCTGTTTATGTTATGTCTCGACATTATTGAAAGATAGGCATAAGTTTAGTCCTAGGGCTGATCAATGTGTCTTTTTAGGATATTCTTGTGGTTATAAAGGCTATAAAGTGTTGCATCTAGATACTAATAGAGTTTCAATAACCAGGAATGTCATTTTTCATGAGCATGTGTTTCCTTTTCACACTTTACATAAAACAGTCAATGAGAATGATTTCTTTG